TATTGAAATACAACAATTTTTAATACACATATGCCTATTTTGCTAAGTTCTGTATCTTATTTAAAAACCTATGGTAACATTAGGTTTTAATATGAGTTTATGTTAAAATACACGATCAAACGTGACAGTTAATAAAATATAGAAACATAATAATGACTTTTAACTGTAGGCCTAAATATATATAAAATTAATTTATTAATATAAATATTCAGTTTTGTTTACCTAAAAAAATACTGCAGAATATATAAAACACATGGAAAAGTACAGTTAAGTATAATAAAAAAACAACAAAAACACCAAAAATACAAGATTTAAAAACAAATCGTTATGATAAGAGAAAGTCTTTTTGCGCGAAAGAAATTTACGGGAACATGTTTAGGCGTGCCTACTTAATATAAACTTAGGCCTTGTCGAGAAGAGGTGTCAAGGGTATTTAATTTAGTCGAAATATTATTAACCTACATTTAACAAAGCAATTTATAAAGGTGTATATTTCAAATATTGTAGATTTAAACACATGGCAAACATTTTACCTCGAGGTCCTTTGAATCCTTGTTCTCCCTTCGGTCCAGTAATTCCCGGTTGTCCGACTGGGCCTGGTATTCCGTTGTTTCCAGCGTTACCTACGTTTCCAGAATATCCAGTTGTTCCCATGAGGCCAGCTATACCGGGCTCACCTTGTCTCCCCGGTAGCCCAGGGATTCCAGGCGGTCCAGGAACAGGTATATAATAATGTGTTTGCTTAAAAAACGGTGTTGTACATTGCACTTGACGGGAGGAATCAGTTGACTCTGACGTAACACTCAGTTTATGAACTGCGTCGCTTTGTATCTCATCTTCTGTAGATGAAGTTTGGTTTATTATTACTTGCTTCGGTAGTTGTCCATCAGTCTCCTGTAATGTGTCTGTTTCCCCCGCTGTAGTTGTAGTAGTTTGGACTGCCAAGCTAATACATAGGCCAATCAACCACATTACGTTGTGCCTTAAGACTATCATTATCTTAAAATAATATTACTACAGTATTCTTCCTCAATTATCACTATCTATAAGTTGGATTTAATTCTTCGTATTATAAGCCTGTTCAAGTGTAGACCTACTTATTTATGACGATGACCTTAAGGGACGATTTGTAATCTAGTGTATTTCCTTCGTTACGCTGCGTTTAGTCTAGTGGCAGCCTGGCTCGTAGTATTACTTCCGGTTGTTAAGACAATAAAATTTTAGCCATTGTCTCGATATACAGTAGTTGTTTTTACTTTGCTATAGGCATAATTACGGCTTACAAAATAAATATAAGTTTCAGTGATCAAAAAAATGAATTGTGAATTTAGTAGATCAGCAAGTTTCAATAAGCCATATGTGTGTCATAAAAAAGATAAAAACATTAGGCCTTTAAGTTAAATTTCAAAAGAAAAACAAATAAAATAGGCCTATTAAAAACAATTTGAAAGACAGGATTATTATTATATTGCACTTTCATCATAAATGGCTGCATTAACTGCCAACAACATCCGCTAAAAAATACACATGGGTGATAATCCTCAGGTGTACGAAAGTCTGGGTCGCTACCAAAATAGGGTCACTGATAACTTAGATCCGACGTGGTTCCTTTAAATAAATAATTCAAATTTCTATTTAAGTTCCTGTTTCTAATGGTTTTCAATCACTTTTCTAATAGGCCTAATTACTCCAAATGATCTTTAGCATCATGTATTAATTTGGTAAAATGGTATTGATTGATCGATTTATTGGGTGTAACCCACTAAAGTCTGTGAAGAAGACTTATTTCCACTTGTGGTACTTGGGCAGTAGGCCTACATCGGGTGACAATCCCGGGGCTGATTATAGATATAGTCGTCGTTTTTATTATTATTTACTAATAAATTCTTCAGGAACAACGTAAAGGAAATCACTATACTGTATATTAGTTACCGAGTTTATCACTCTTTTCATGACCAAAAAAAAAAAAATAAATAAATAAATAATAAATTATGAGGCGGCAGACTTCACATAGAACTCGTAAGTACATTCAATATTTATTCTTTCTTTATTGATATCACATAGTGTTTAACAATAGGCATATATATGGCCTGGACGTACACCGTTGCACCAGCGGTACGTACACTTTAAAAACAACGCTAGGTCAGTAACTGAAATTGACGTAATATGGAATCAAACAATGGATGTTTACTATGAATTAATGATGCAATGTTAGTAACATTCCTTAATGAATAATGTTGTACATATATTTTAATATTTCATTGTTAGCTACTTTATATTAAACGTAATACATTCAACAATTGTTTGTTTTCAACTACTCCAACTAATAATTTTATTTTGTTAATTAAGTTACAAGATTGTTTATAACCTAAATTATGTATTTTTAACGTCAACAATACGTATTCTAACTAAATAATGCTGTAAACCAGTGGCGGATCCAAGAATTTAAAATATAAGGGACCCAGAGAGGAACTTAGACGAATTGAGGGTGTAGACCACCTCAGCCCCATGGTAGGAACTGAGGTAAGACACTATTGATCATGACCTTTGTAGATCATCGGAAAAATTCATCTGGAAAAAAAAAAGATTGTGGTCGAACCGTCCAGGCAAAGGGCGGATGAGCTCCTCGGAGCCAACGGCAAAACCATGCTTAGTTTAAGGAGTAGGCTTAGGATTATTTAAGTATCATCATATTTGTATTCTTATTTATGTTAAGCGCACAGAGGTCTCTATGATATGCGCTCTATAAGTCGACCATAATTATTATTATTTTGTTTCATTAATAAATGAAAGTTTAACAACATTGCCTTTATAGATGGTCGGAAATGGCACTTTTAGTTTGAGATTTGAATATAACTTTCTTTTTCTCTTATGATTTTGAAAAAAAAAGTTAGGAAAGAGGTGGGCTGGTCGGCTCCTTCTCCCTACCTTGAATCTGCTACTGTAACTGTAAACGTTGCTGAAAAGTTGTGTTGACGTTATTTTTTGACACAACCAAACAACAAAACGTTCAATATACTATGAACTTTTTGTGTTTGCTGGGGTATTTAATTATCACTTTCTAATTACTATACTGAAATATAATAGCTATTTCTTTGATATGTTACAAAAATATTTATAAAAATAGATATTATTTTCACTTTCTTTAATTGTCACTACCACCTTTAACTTATTATTGGCAGAAAAAATTATGTACAATTTAAAAATACTATACAACCTTAATTGAGTAATATTTGTTATTTGGATGCGAGTTTTGTAGGGCAAAACATCACATCCATGTAATATATTGGTTTTATACGGATGTAGTAACTTTTTCAATTTAAGAATATTGAAACCAGGAAACCGAAGGATTGATTCATAAGCCCCAAATCTCTACCTAGAGACTTAAAGAATAAATCCAGCCCTATATAAACTGATTTGAGAACCTGCTCAACGAAAAACATGCTTTGTATCAGACAGATAACAATAATAAAACTCGAATTTAGGAATAAATGTTAAAATAAGGCATAATCCAACGCATTATGGAAACTGGCGAATAACCATGTTGTAACTAAACTACCCCAATAATTTGAAGAATATAGACATCTTGCTGTATCAGATTTATCACTCTGAAAATCAAGAAAGGTATTGCAGCAATCAACCTATAAGCTCAGATTAGAGTTGTAATAACAGAATAACTTTGTTCAAATTTAAACCATGGACAATTCCCTGTTTTGGGAAATCCCAAAGGTCCGTTCTTTATTAATATTGTGTTTTCGTAAAAATACGAAAAATAAGCATATAAAATGTAATAATGTAGAAAGAATGCATCCATCCGCAGTTACAGATAAAAATTATACAAAGAATAGACAAAAACAGAGGGCGGCTTCTTGTTACATTAAATCAAAAACAGTGAAATGATAATGATACATCAGAAATAACTACGATATTAATGTATCAACAAACATGAATATCACAGTTCACTTAAATGCCGAAAATGCGAAATCTGAAAACATACAGTCATATACAATATGTAATTTAGTATAAAAATAAAAGTAAGAAAAATATGATTATTAGAATAAACCATACTCTCGAATTATGAATTAATTTTTTTACAGTTAAAATAATAATTATTAAATGTAATTATATAATGTTATATTATATATTATCCTTATTGTTTAAATGAATACTTATTTAAAAAATGGGTATAGGCTATGTGTAAACACTGGTATATTAGGTATATTATGCTATTGATATTAGTTAAAATGAAAATCAAATAACATTGAAAATTAGGATGAAACGATAAAGGCTCTAATTTTGCTAATGTACATAAGAGAGACACGGTAACAAAAATAAAACGCACTGAACGGGACGCGGAATATGATTGATCTGTATGTCCACTTGGGTCCTATAGAGGAATATACATGATAGTGAATAAAATAAAATTTATTATTTATTTTGACATAATATATTGATATGAAACATACAATCCGTAATATTATTATAGATTATATATTTTCATGTATATATTATTTTGGGATAACACTTATACCACACTATATCGCAATTAATTTTGTTTAAACACGGGGCTGGTAAACAAATGGGACGTGTCTGCTGCCAGCTTTTTTGCATTTGTCATTTTTTGTCTGTTGTTCCTGATTTGTATTTTAGCTATTTTTAGGTTATGCAATATAATAGGTACAACAATTTATGAAAGTATTTCCGGTACCGCGTCCAATGGTGGCCCATAAACAGACTACCAGTCTTAAAAATGCACGACGTTGAGTAAACAATGAACCGTTTCGGCATGCCAATCAAACTGATAAATCAGAACATTGTCTGATACACGCTCGTTCTACAAACGCACGTGTTTATGACGTTTTACACTTTCGTTTTGTGGGACCTTAGCAACAATATCAAAGGGGTGGAGCTTGGCAGAAATTGATGAGGTGAAAAAAAATCAGCAGTTCATGTCTTCATATCCTTCTCTTGGTTTGGCTGAGATGCTTGAGGACTCATTTAAGTTGTCATTATAACAGCTATAACGACGACTGTCAAAGATATCAAACTGCAGCACCTGAAATTCAAGGCGTAGTAAAAAATAATGTAGAACGCTTAATGGACACTTCCGGAGATTCAATCAAACTTAACAAGTGACCAATCAGAACATGGCCAGGAACACGTGCTTGTAACATAAACACCCGTGTTGTCCCCAACGCATATGTTTGTTTTGGGAACTTAACGACAATATCCAAGGGCGGGGCTTACAATAAAGGTCAATTACGACATTATTGTTACTGTGGTACTGTAATTACACTAAAAAAACATAAGAACCAGTAAAATTTTGCCCAGGCTGAGTGTTCTTATTCTGTTCTTATTTTTGCACAATTTTAAACATTGAAATGTATTACTGTACAGAAGTACATTACTGCACTGTATTATAAAGGGTATTACATAGTTACACCTACTAATAAAATAAATAAAATAAAATATTACTTGACATTATTTTTACCTTATCTTTAATTTTTTTCTTATTTTGTTCTAAATTTTTATGCTATTTCAGCCTCAGTGTTAAAAAAAGCGTTTTTTTACAAAAAAATAATAATAAAAAAAAATCGTGTATTCTAAGACTTCCTTGAGCTCAGTATTGGAGAACGAGCTTTAAAAAGTATGAAGCTACCCAATCGCAAGTTATGGCATTACACAGTGTCGAAGCATAGATAAATTTCCGCAATTGATTTAATTTAGAAGGCTGTAACTATAGTAGAAAACATTATGAATATTAATCTTTTCAAAAATAATAAAATAAAATAAATAAATAAATAATTAAAATACGAATTATGGTAAATTCGCTGTAGCCAAACCTAAAGTTCTAAACTTTAGTTCATTTTTCTCCTTTTACATTTTCATTTAATCGATTCAAAGAAAATAATAATAACATGATATTAATAACAGCAATAATATTATTAAATGATGATAATACATAATAATAGCAATAACAATAACAATTATGACCAAATTACAGTAATACTATTATTAATGCTTTGATGTCCTGTGAAGGTCAAAGGCAACGTCACCGTTATTGTCACCATCACCGTCGTATACTTATTATCAAATATAAAAATATGTTGAACTTACAATTGATTCCAAGACAGGGTCAAGTTTTTCAACGAGCACATGAAATGTTGGTCGTTTTCTTGGATGTTCATTCCAGCAGTCTAGCATTACTTTGTATCTATTCAAATCAGATAACAAATCAAGACAACGATTGTTCAACATGTTCGAATCATAAAATAATTTATCTTTGTAATTTTGAAATTCGTAAAGATAAAAGGAGGTATGGTGCACTAAAAGTAAAGACATTTTGTCAAAGTGATCTCATGTGGAAATACGCATTATATCAGGAACATCAAATCTCCGCCAATCAATTTTTCATACCCCTAGAAAGACTTAGCTAATGATAATGATATACATCATTAGAACAAACCCTCTTTTAGATTCTACCACTTTACCTGAAGATCTGCCTGGCATTGCTTTACCCAGTAGTTGTTTAGGCTCTCACTACTAACCGAGACTTTCATATACCTCAGAAAACATATCGGGTGGCTTTTGAAATTATTCATAAAATAAAATACTCCATGAGGTTTGTGCCAATGCATTTACCACTTAACTTTTTATTATTCTGGTGCCTCTAAAATGTTTCATCCCACTACAGGAAAACTCGCACCAGTACCAGCTCATAATTTGTGAAATTAAAGATGTATTTCCCCTGAAAATGACGACAAAAAAAAAAAAAAAAAAAAAAAAAAAAAAAAAAAAAAAAAAAAACCAGAAAGCAAAATCATAACAAATCATTTTGAAATTTTAATTATTAACTTGAGCATAGTATAAAAAAATGTGCACTCTGATTTTTATATTAGATAATGATAATGTTTCTATAGTGTTCGCTGTGGAATTATAGGTTAAATTATTTTTTAAATACACATGTTTTATTTAATTTCAAATATGATTTTATGATTTATTTTGGTGTTTTTCATGAGACTAAAATTTAATTTCAAAAGAACATTAAAATTGGACCCTAGTCACTTTATATAGGCC